ACTTTGACTCGTCGTCGTCGTCGTCGGTTTAAAATTTTCCAAATGATAATGTTGGCCATTTTCCTCTCAACATCTTTCCCTGTTTATTATTATTATTAATATTATTATTATTATTATTATTATTATTATTATTATTATTATTACTAGCGAAACCCGTCGCGGTAATAAAAAGTCAAATTCAAAATGTCGGCGTCGGTTTTTTATTTTTATTTAATACGAACTCTGAAATTATGATGAACGATGAACGGACGTGATTTTATTTAAATTGTTTTTGTTTTATTATTATTATTATTATCATCATTATTATCACAAGACAAATTTTTTTTTTATTTTCTAATAATCGGTCGATTGTAATAATAATAATAATAATCCCTCCCCTGCAAAAACTTTTTTTTTATTTTTTTTGTTTTTTTTTTCTTTTCTTTTCTTTTCTTTTATAAAGTTTCTTTTCACTTTTTCTTTTTTCTTTTTCGGTTTTATTTTGTGTTAAAAGTTGGCGTTAATTTACAAAAAAAAAATGAGGAGGAGGACGGAAAATAGAGAAGGAGGAGAAAAGAAAAAAGTAGAAAAAAATTGGAATCCGTAATGTGAAAAGTGGAAAGAGAGAGAGAAAGTAAAGAAACATAAAAAAATTTTTTTATCACACAGAGAGTGAGAGGGAGAGAGAGAGAAACATTCGAGAAAACAAACAAACGAACAAACATTAAAAAAAAAAAATTTAAATTTAATTTGCGAACCGTCGGAGATTTGTAAGTTTGTCTTGTAATTTTGTTGTTTTCAAGAAGTTACTAATTTAGTTTTTTATTACACCGGAAATGGGGAAATTTATTTTAAATTTTGACGGAAAAGTTAATTAAAATCATTTTGAATAACTCGTAATTTTGCCCAAAAAAATATTATTTTGGGAGAAGGAAGGAGGAAGAGGGGCAAAGAAGATTTCAAATCGCCGATTGATGTCGTTTTCGCCTAAATGAAAATCTATAAGAAAATTTTTCTTAGATAAAAAACTGACCCTAACACACCCACGCACGAAACGATTATAATTTATCGAAATATTTCTTCAGATCGTTTTTTGTTTGTTCAGAAGGAAAAGGAGGAGGAGGAGGATGATAAGGATTTGCGCAGTCAATCTAAAATCGTCAGTAATCCAAATCAAAATTAACGTTTATTTTATGTATGAGGATTAAAGAATGATTTAAGGGTGTAAAGCTTTTGTTGTCAAATCCACCTCCTCTTCCTCCTCCTCCTTCTCTTTAGGTTTTTTTAAAAGAAATTTTACGTTTTTTCTCATTCCCCTCCTCTCCTCCTTTCTCTCTCTTTCGAACGTAATTTTATTTTATCTTAATTGCATTTTAAATTTTGTGAGAAAATTTAGAATTTCAAATTTTTTTTTTTTTCAAATTTAAAAACGCACGTCCAAATTTTTCTCTGAAAGGATTTTAATTAGTTAAATATATATATTTAAAGCAGACGACGACGAGGATAGAGAAAAACAAAAGAAGGAAAAACAAAACATTACATTTTTTTGTTTGTTGTTATTTCGAACTCATAAGAATAAATAGTTTCGTTTAAATTTTTATGTTTCCGATAGTTTAAATCTTATCATTTATCAATTTTCAAAAAGGGAAAGTTGGAAAAAAAATTAAAACAAAAATTTCGGGAGGGGGGTAACGAAAGGAGGGTAGGGGGTGGTAGTGGTGGTAGGAATGTCATTCGTATTCCGTTTTGCATTTTTTCAAAAAAAAAAAAAAAAACCTTTTATATATAAAAGTATAAATTAGGGATATAAAAACTTGTCCTCGTTTTGTAATTTTAAAGTATTGATTTTACATCTGTGCGTGAAATATCAGTTTTATTGTAACATTTTTTTCCCCCCCTCTCTCTCTCTCACTCTCGTTTTCATCTGTTTCCTATTTTCCCATTCCACTCCCTCACCCACTCTATCACTACCTCCTAGTCCCTGTGAGAAAAAAAAAAAAAGTTTTCGTGGTTTTTTTTTTTCTTCTTATGTTGATGTTGTTGTTATTATTACCGTCACAATCATCATCATCATCATCATCATCATCATCATCATCGATAGAGAGTACTAGCATAAAGTTTGTAGGGAGGAGGGGAGGAGAGGAGAGGAGAGAAGGAGAGAATAAAAAAAAAACGACGTCGAATTTTTCACATTTCATATCCGAAAGTTGTTTTTTTTTCGTTGTTGTTGTTGTCGTCGTAATATCGCCCCCCCGCAAAAAAAAAAAACGACAGTATTGAAATGTTATTTAGAAAAAGAAAATTGAAAAAAGAAAAAAAAAACGTTTTTTTTTTTTTTTTTTTTTTTTTTTTTAATCGGGGAAAAAAAAAAAAAAAAAATGAAAAAAAAGTTTGAGATTCATTGTTGCGGCGGTTATGAAAATAGATTGACGTGGCAAGTTTTTTTTTTTTTTTTTTTTTCCCTTTGAAAGTTTTGTAAAAATTTTTGTTACTGCATTAAACAAACGTCTTTCACACGCACGCACACGCACACACACACACACTTGCGTACAAGTTTAGTCAATTTTTTTTTTTTTTTCATATTAAACGCTTCATTAACTTTTTTTTCTCTTTCTTTTTCATCTCCGGAAATTTTTTTTTTTTTTTTTTACCTTCCAAAGGTAGGGTGTTGTTAGGGATGGTGGTGGTAGTGGTGGTAGGGATGGCGGTGGTTGTGGCGGAGGATGTAAAAACGATTAAGTCTCTCGTGAAACATTAAAAAAATTTTTGTCGGAATGAAAATGGTTGGTAAACCGCGAACGGAAATAAAATTTCTGTGACAATTTTAAGTTGAATATTTTCTTTTTTTTAAAAAAAAAAAACAATTAAGGTAAAAAAAAAACCGGGAAACGTGTTGCTTCCCCCTCTCTCTCTTCCTCTCTCTC